AGCATCAGGAAGGCACGCCAAGACATCGTGTACCAACACACCGACTTCGGGCCAGTGATTCAACCGTTGCAAGTGCATGGGGTTTCAGATAAGTCGCACATCGATGCAGCTGGCTTGTGGATACAACACCCTTGGGCATTTTTGCAGGCAGCATGCAAATCAAGTGAACACTTCAGATCCTTGTTCGTCGACATGTTGAACCGCAACAGCAACACTGTAAGGCTTGTTATGTATTCAGATGAGGTGACGAGTGGCAACGTCCTTTCATCCCATCAGTTTCGTAGGGTCGAAGCCTTCTACTGGACATTCTTGGAATGGGGGTTTCCTTGCTTGAGCCATGAAGACTTGTGGTTCACTGTTCTTGGGGCTAGAACGACGCAGGTATCAAAATTTGCAGGTGGAATGTCAGAACTTCTACGCTACGTTTTGAAGTATTTCTTAGGCGCGCCCAGTGGTCATGACATGCGGTCGGGCTTGCAATTTCTGGTGCCAGGGGAAACGCACCCTCGTTTGATTTTCGGTGATCTTCAAATGTTGGTGCAAGACGAGAGAGCATTCAAATTTTCAGTCCATTGCAAAGGGAGCGGTGCGCACCGCATTTGCTCCCTATGCAAGAACATACTTGGACATAAATCTTCGTATCTTCCAGACCCATCTGGACACCCCAAGCCTGCCACGACCCTTGCAATTTCTGACATTGAATTTCATGACAACCAGTCCGTGCTGAGCGTGCAGACCTACCTCAGAGACATTGCACTTGGTGGCGACAAGAGCCGTCTGGAGCGAGTGGAGACAATGCTGGGCTGGAACTTCTCTCCAAATTCGGTTTTGCAGGACGAGTTCCTGAAGATCAGGTTGGTTGACTGCTGGAACTATGACTGGCTTCACTGCTATTGTTCGGAAGGGGTGTTCGAGCTCGAAGCTAAAGAACTGATGCGTTGCCTCAAAAAGAAAGGTCTTGGTGGCGACGTGCTAGACCGTTACTTGTCAGAATGGGCTTGGCCAGGTGGGTACTCTGGGGCAGCAGTTGTTTGCAAGGGTAGTCAGGATAAAGACTTGAATGGCACAGCCAGCGAGATGCTTTCACTGGCCCCTGTACTTCAAAGGTTTTTGGAAGACGTGGTGACGCCTACAGGGCATCTCGTAGCTAAGGTGGCGAGCTGCATCAAGCTTTGCAAAGTAGTCCTTCTTCTGCAGCAGGCCAACAATGGATCTATATCTGCAGCCGACCTGGGCGCTGCCATAATAAGTCATTTGGTTGCCCATCAGCGTGCGTGGGGGTCCTCTCTATGGAGACCCAAGCACCACTATTGCATTCACCTCCCGAAACAGCTTCTGCACCATGGTGTGTTGATAAATTGTTGGCTTCTGGAAAGGAAGCACAAGCACATCAAGAGGGTCTGCAATCCTAGATCGAATGCCACATCGTTCGACAGGGGGGTCATGGAGGAGATAACCCTCCAGCATCTGTGGGATCTGAAATCACCCTTGTCTGGTGTAGGTCTCCTGGAGCCCAGGCCGCCAAATCGCAAGTTGATGGATGCGATTTCATCGCATTTCAATCTCTCCAGTCATAGTGTTGTCATGTGCGCAAGGTCGTGCATTGTAGGCTTCAGGGTTGTTCGTATGGGCGACGTTGTTTGCTATACAAATGACGCAGGCCAGACTGAGTTTGGCCATCTCTATTTTCACTGCAGCGTGGATAGCTGTCTCTTTTGTTGCGTTAGTCCGTGGGAGTGCGTCAGCTCGTCTCCTGGCCATGCGCGGTGCAGGGTTGCAGATAACCCTATCATAATTCGTACACAGTCTATCGTCGAGAGTTGTGTGTACATTAAGGCACCAGTAGGTAGTATCACTAAGATTGTTTTGCCTACAAGGCTGAGGCTTCGCGAAGTCATGAGCGCTTGAACTCTTATAGGGGGTAAAAGGTGAACATGGGGAGGCACGAATTGTGTTGGTTGGAAGGATGTGATATGTTTTGTGGGCCCGCTAAAGACGGGCAGGACTGTCATCGCTGTGGGGCGTCAGCGGTTCATTGAAAAATCATATACTCCTGCTCGTGCAACTCCTCCGCCAGACCCCCCTTCCCCTGCCAAAGCCCTGCCGACAAGTAAGAAAGGGAAGCGAACGAGCTCAAAACATAGCAACGGGAGAGCAAGGAAGATGAGGAGGGGAGTAGGCGAAGGGAGGGGGATGCTACAATTCAGGATGGCAGTAAGCAGGAGGAATGGATACCTATAGCAGAACAGCTGGACGGATCGGTCTTCAAACAAAGGATTTTGACACTCGCGCTTCTCAAATGCTGCACCCCCACCACGGAAATGTAGGAGCCGTGTCCTGAAAAATGAAGCCCCCCACCAATATTCTGAGCCTGGCGAACTAGGTTAGCTGAGGAGCCAACTAGGTTAACTAGGTTAGCTAACCAGGTTAGCTAACTAGGCTAACCTGGTTATGCAACCTCCCCGTAACCAGGTTAGCGAACCTGGCGCGAAGTAGGTTACGCAACCACGACGTAACCACGTGAACCAAGATAGAATCCCGAGAACCACTTCACATCCACAGCATCGATCCCAGCAGAGGAGCCCAGAGCGGCCTCCGGCACCGTTTCCGGACGGATCCGCTGGATCCGGTGACGAATCCCAAACCGGCGCCCTCGCTTGAGACATCCTCGCAAAACCGGCCCCGGGGGAGGTGCCCAGAGGAGCCCAGAGCGGCCTCCGGCACCGTTTCCGGACAGATCCGGTGGATCCGCTGGATACGGTGACGAATCCCAAACCGGCGCCCTCGCTTGAGACATCCTCACAAAACCGGCCCCGGGGGAGGTGCCCAGAGGAGCCCAGAGCGGCCTCCGGCACCGTTTCCGGACAGATCCGCTGGATCCGCTGGATCCGGTGACGAATCCCAAACCGGCGCCCTCGCTTGAGACATCCTCACAAAACCGGCCCCGGGGGAGGTGCCCAGAGGAGCCCAGAGCGGCCTCCGGCACCGTTTCCGGACAGATCCGCTGGATCCGCTGGATCCGCTGGATCCGGTGACGAATCCCAAACCGGCGCCCTCGCTTGAGACATCCTCACAAAACCGGCCCCGGGGGAGGTGCCCAGAGGAGCCCAGAGCGGCCTCCGGCACCGTTTCCGGACGGATCCGCTGGATCCGGTGACGAATCCCAAACCGGCGCCCTCGCTTGAGACATCCTCGCAAAACCGGCCCCGGGGGAGGTGCCCAGAGGAGCCCAGAGCGGCCTCCGGCACCGTTTCCGGACGGATCCGCTGGATCCGGTGACGAATCCCAAACCGGCGCCCTCGCTTGAGACATCCTCGCAAAACCGGCCCCGGGGGAGGTGCCCAGAGGAGCCCAGAGCGGCCTCCGGCACCGTTTCCGGCGTGTTTTTGATAATGTTTGATTCGTTGTTTCGTGTTTTTGATAATGTTTGATTCGTTGTTGCATATTTCCAGGGCTGGCCCTAAACAGTATTTTGGCGATTTCTTGGGCCGTTTTGGTTTCGACTTCGTTTTGTGGTAGAGCCGGGCTGAAGACACTAACAAAAGAAAACGAAAACACAACGAACACGAAAAACACATTCTAGGTCCAGCCCTTCACATTTTCAGTTTTAGTCCCACATCCGCCTGCAGGAGGACGTGCCCGATCGAATGTGTGGCGTTTCTCTTCCCCCTGGCCGAGAGGCTGGCCGCGGGTGAAGACTAGCTGGCGCGGGAGCTCAGCGGGGCGAGCCCGAGCGGGAAGGGCAAAAGAGCCAGAGGCTGCGACTCAGTGGGCCCTGGAATCAAAAGCGTTAAAAACGCCCCTCCCCTAGTTTGCGAGGCGCTGTGGGCTGGACCTCCTGTCGGCTGACAGGGTAAACCCTGCACATCGCGCGTGTCGCGCGGCGCCCTGGCGGCTTTGGGAGCTCCCAGGGGGCTTACGGACAACGCATTTGTAACACAGGGTAGCGGCGTTTTTACATCCCTCAATGGAAGCGGCAGGGCCGTTTTTGTCACCGTTTCTGAAAAACGCCTCTTGGAAATGGAAGCGGAAAAAAAGGCGATCCGAAATGGCAACAAAAACGGCTCCAGAAATGGAATTGGAGCCCGAGCCGGAAAACAACGGCGATGGAACCAGTAAAACAATTGTGTCGGAACCGGCGAAAAAAGGCAAAACGTAACAGCGTAACAAAAACGGGTATGTAATTTCCGGGGCCTATTCAGGGCTGCGGTGCCGTGAGATTCCAGTCGGGCACGCCCCTCTCTACAGGAGGGAGAGTTCAGAATCGTCAAAACAAATTCTTCATCTCCCTTGTTATTATGCAGCGAAAAGTTTGTGTTTCACTATTCCAGCCACCCGCAGAAGGGGTAGAGGGAGGGGGAGGCTTCTTAGAAGCACAACTGTTTCTGAGAAGGCGCGGGCCTTGCCTGTCGATACAGGGCCTAAACCTAGTAACGCGATGAAGACGTGGCCTCGCTGAGGTCCTTGTCGTCGCATTAGGGACAATAGTGCTGGGCGGTTTGGTCTGATGCATCTGCAGAGAAGACCCCCTTATCCCTCATGTTTTCTGGCCCTCTTAACTTAGGTACCCTCCCAGAGGGTTAGGGGACCTTTTTAGTTTAATCAGAAGATCCTGGCGTCTCATTTTTTTTTCGAGCTGGGCGTTTTCGCCTGTTGTTCGGACCCTGGGGCCCTCACATATCGATCCAGCTCACAACGTGACGCTGAAAGATGGGGGCTACGGCTCCTGGCGTGATTTCTACGGTGTTGCAATTTGTTCGCTACGCCGGGTCTCAGGGAAGCCTCTTCTGCGAGCAATGTTCATATCCATATCCAGTGCGTCTTGGATTTTTTTCGGAAGGAGCACCACAAGGCCGAGGCGCACTGGATATTGAAAAAAGGGGAACACTATCCATATCCAGGAAAATTACCCATAACCAGGGAACCCCAGACTCCATATCGCAGTGGATATGGACAGAGGTATTGCCCGCATCTGCTTGAGGGGGAGGGGGCAGAGGGAGGCGGCGCTCGGTTTGGCCTCACTCGAACTCATTCAAGCGGCTGAACATCACCTTCGCGAGCCGGTCGCTCCATTCGGGCTCCACGCCGAGCGGCCCGGAGTGGTTCCTGGCGCGCGTTGTCTTCATCTCCGCCAGCTCCAAGCGGGTTACCTACCGACCAGGTCGCTAACCTTGGTGTGAGAAGCATCCGCGTGTGCATGGGCTTTGGGAAGCCAGGCGCGGGTCTCTTCGATCGGCGCCGGGCCCCCCTCCCTGGCGGCCAGCCAGGTCGCCGAGCGCAGAGAAGGGAACAGTTGCATGAGCATGGACTTTCGGAGGCCCGCGCACATTTCCTGGACTTGCTTTGGACCCTGCGCGCGCAGCGCGCCAGAGGCGGCGCCTGAGGCGCCTCCAGGGGGGTGCAGAGCAGATGCAAGATGTCCGCGAGGACCTCAGGACACTCGTGGTTATGCAGTTGCCCTTCTTTTAAGTCGGCCCTGGCCCTCTACTGGAGGAGTAGTCCAAAATTGTCACAAAATAGCCTGGAGACTATTTTTTGAGTTTTTGTTAGTCCATTTTGCAAATTTGATTGACTATTTCTCGTGTTTCCTCCAAAATCCCCCTGTAGGGGGACAGGCCCGACTTGTCCCTTCTTCCAGGGCAGCCCCGCGAGAGCTGCGTCTCGCGGTGGCGCCCCGCTTGGGGGCTCGGCGGACAGCGGCATCGAAGGTGCTGCGCAGGTCCCAGATACACGTAAGTCGGGCATGCCGCTCTACAGGAGGAGAAAATTCAGATCTCGTCTACCAAGGATCTGGGGACGATTGTGTTTTTTGTGTTAAAAAGAGACCCTTCTAGCTTATATGCGTTTCTTGTGTTTTTTCTTTTCTCGTTTCCTCGTTTGAGTATGGGTTGGATTCTTTCGAGCTACATTTAATGCTCCTTACATAGACCGCCTCCAGGAGGACACGCCCGACCTAGAGATACACCTCGAGCGGGCCGAACTGCCGTCGCCGTCGTGACCCCCGAGCACTTCGTGGCAGCCCCCCCCCCGCCTTCCGAGCAGCAGCGTAGGGGCCAGGGAGGAGGCCCGCACACCGCTGCTTGGGGCCTGAGCCAGGCATGGACGGGGCCCCCGCCCTGACACGTCGATTATCAAGCGGCGGCGAAGCGTCCCGGCTCGCTTTTGGCCCTACCCAACAAAGTTCTAAGAACCTTTTTTGTGGATTCCACGAAATATTCTTAGAACATGATTGGCAGGGACTGTCTTGTTTTAGCAAACTGGGTTTATGATCTAAGAGCATTTTCATTTTGGGATTCTAAGAACATTTCGTGGTATGACTATAGGAATGCGGGGACGGTCGGTCCCTGCTCAAGATTAGTGATTTGTCCGTTCTCGGTTCTCGAGAGGGCGCCGCGGCCGTCACTTTCCAGGCCAGCGCCCGCCAGGTTTGGGCTCGAGGTCGTCTTCACTGAACCACGTGTTACCAAGCGGGGGTCTCTGTCCATCCCCGATACACGAGGAGTATCCAAGGATAGTCAACAAAATAGTCTGGGGGCGATTTTTCTGGTTGTGAAAAAGGATGCTCGACAGTATTGACATGGGCATGTCCCTGCACAGGAGGTGTACCCAAGGATACTCAAACCATATTTTTGGGACGATTTCTCTTGCGGTTAAAGATATGTGCGACTTAGGGATATTGAGTCGGGCATGTCCCTCTACAGGGGGAATATGCAAGGATAGTCGAACAATAGTCTGGGGACGATTTGCTGGACGCTTTGTGGAATAGTTTCGCCAGTTGTTTGATATTATTGTTTTTTGTTGGGCTATGGTGTTTACTATGTTTTGTTATGTTTTACTGTTCTTCTTGAGTCCGCCTGTAGGGGGACATGCCCGACCGAATGCCAGGGGAACAAGTCCAGCATCCATAGCCGAGCCTTCTGGAGGAGCAGCCTTCCGGAGGCGACGAACATCTCCCTCGAAGCAGTTGCGCGATCCGAAACCTGAGAGCACGTGACCGAGGCAAACGTCACCATCCCCGGCAGGTCGGGAATCTGCCACGCCGCGAAAGTCCGGGCAAGGAGCCCCAGGAAGCGAGATGGCCGCCGCAATGGCCAGGCGCACCAAGCGCGCATCCGCGCAGCAGGTGCACGCGGCCGTGCAGGATGGCCGCCAGCGTGCCGCGCGGAAGTGCCCGTCCTGGCCAGTGCAGCGGGATCAACTGGGCCTATCCGATGAGGGTCTCGTTCCAGGGCTCTCCTGGGACGCTCTCATCGGGGGCGGCAAAGAGGGGGGTGATGACTAGGGGGGGGGAGATCATGGCGGGGGCCATGCTATTTCCCCAGATTTCATGGCGCCTCTTCTTATTTCATTACGTCCCTGGCCCCCCCTTGGGCCGCGCACATGCCGCTGGCCATGATTTGCGCCCCCCCCTCTTGGACACCCCGCTCTGGGCCGCCCCCGATCTCTGAGCGTTCCGGAACGCTCTGCGATGGCCGCGGAGTCTTGGAGCCCTCTTAGGGCTCTTTGGGGAGGTTTGGGGGGCCTCTTGGGGCCGTCTTGGGCCCCATGGCTAAAAAAGAGGGGGGGGGCAATTCCCGCCGCCCCCTCGGAGGGTCACACATGCTGACTTGGAGCCGTTTTGGGCCGTTTTTGGAGCGTTCTTGGCCGCTCTCGGGGCCCTCTTGGGCCACTCTTGGGGCTCTCTTGGGGCAACTTGGGGCCACGTTGAGGATGCCAAAGCCCATCGGAAGCGAAAAGGCGAGAATGCCTGAAACATTGATTTCTCCAGGCTTTTGAAGGAGTTTGGCATCTTGGAGGGTGCCGTTGGAGGCTCGAAAGGCACTTGGATCCGTCTTCGGGCAGCCTTGAGGCCTCTTGGATGTGTGTCGGAGGCTATCTTGAGCCATCTTGAGCTATCTTGGGCCATCTTGGAGGCCATCTTGCGCTCTCTGAGGCCCTCTTGGAGCCATCTTGGGCCCCAAAGGACTCTCTAATCCCTCGGGCCCGCGCCGTCCAGACCCAAAGAGCGGGGGGTTGGAGACGGAAACGCTCTAGACCACCTCCGTCCAGAGGGCTGGTGGGACTCGAAGTATGCTTACACAGTTGTTTCGCCCTCTCGGGGCATGTCTGGCGGAGACAGCCTCTGGGAGGAGGGCCAGTTGAGACAGTGGCGGCCCTCCTGCCCGCCCCCATCCGCCGGTGTCTCCACTCCGCAGATTTGGCTCAAGATTGGCTCAGGTTGTGGCCAAGTGTTCAACTCTGTCGCCGAAGCTGCCAGCTCGCGGTGTCTCTCATACGTCGTCAATGGCCAACGCCACGTTCGAGATGGTGGCTTCCAATCTGGCCGTCAGCGAGGCTGGGCTCCTCGCCGCAACGGACCTCTACACGGAGCAGGGCGAGCCGGGCAAGAAGGGGCCGCCTGCAGCGCGCGTGCGGTGGGCCGGCTGGCGGGTCGGCCTGGGGGCGCTCTTGGCCGCGGCGCTCGTGGGCGTCGCCGCGCGGGCGGCCGCCCAGCAGCGCGGCCAGGCGCCCGCGCTCACGAAGGACGTGCCCGAGGTGACGGAGTTGCAGGACTGCGGATCCAATCCCGCGTGCCAGTACGAACCGGCGACCGGGGGCTGCGATTGCACCCCGAGCGCCGGTTCGTCGGCGACCTACCCGACGCCCATCACGGACTGCGGACCCAACCCCGCGTGCCAGTACAATCCGGATACCGGCGGCTGCGACTGCACCCCGCGCTGATGCCTACAATAAATACAAGGGCAACGCAAATGATCTAATGTCTGTTTTTTTTTTCGCCGATCGCGCGCAGTTGACGCATCTGCCGCAGTTAGGCCACCGCGTGCCGTAGTTAGGACATCCGCCGGCGTCTCCGATCTCGCCGCTCATTCGGACGATTGCCAAGACCGCAGCTGTTGCGTCGGATACTCTTCGCTTATAATGGGCGGTGCCCTCTAGAGACTATAGACATCAAGATCTCTGCGGGCAGGGCGCCCGAATGCTTGCGGGCGCGCGTTCGGGGCTGGCGGGGCGCGCGCTCGAGAGCGCCTCGTGGGGCACTCCTTGGAGCTATCCTTGTTTTAATTTGAGGGAGTTTCTGTGGAACTCACGTCATCCTCACCCCCGGCGCGAAGAGCACGAGTCCAGAGCGGCCTCCGGTACCGTTTCCGGACGACCGCTTTATTTTTGTTTTGGTTTTTCCGGTGGATCCGGCCGACGAATCCCAAACCGGCGCCCTCGCTTGAGACATCCTCACAAAACCGGCCCCGGGGGAGGTGCCCAGAGGAGCCCAGAGCGGCCTCCGGCACCGTTTCCGGACAGATCCGCTGGATCCGCTGGATCCGCTGGATCCGGTGACGAATCCCAAACCGGCGCCCTCGCTTGAGACATCCTCACAAAACCGGCCCCGGGGGAGGTGCCCAGAGGAGCCCCAGAGCGGCCTCCGGCACCGTTTCCGGACAGATCCGCTGGATCCGGTGCGAATCGAAAAAACCGGCGCCCTCGCTTGACATCCTCGCAAAACCCCCGGGGGGGGCCCCCAGAGCCCAGAGCGGCCTCCGGCACCGTTTCCGGACAGATCCGGTGGATCCGGTGACGAATCCCAAACCGGCGCCCTCGCTTGAGACATCCTCACAAAACCGGCCCCGGGGGAGGTGCCCAGAGGAGCCCAGAGCGGCTCCGGCTTCCGATTCCGGACGGATCCGCTGGATCCGGTGACGAATCCCGAACCGGCGCCCTCGCTTGAGACATCCTCACAAAACCGGCCCCGGGGGAGGTGCCCAGAGGAGCCCAGAGCGGCCTCCGGCACCGTTTCCGGACAGATCCGTGGACCGGTGACGAATCCCAAACCGGCGCCCTCGCGGACATCCTGCAAAACCGGCCCCGGGAGGAGCCCAGAGCGGCCTCCGGCAACGGGATCCGCTGGATCCGTGACGAATCCCAAACCGGCGCCTCGCTTGAGACATCCTCACAAAACCGGCCCCGGGGGAGGTGCCCAGAGGAGCCCAGAGCGGCCTCCGGCACCGTTTCCGGACAGATCCGGTGGATCCGCTGGATCCGGTGACGAATCCCAAACCGGCGCCCTTGCTTGAGACATCCTCACAAAACCGGCCCCGGGGGAGGTGCCCAGAGGAGCCCAGAGCGGCCTCCGGCACCGTTTCCGGACAGATCCGGTGGATCCGGTGACGAATCCCAAACCGGCGCCCTCGCTTGAGACATCCTCACAAAACCGGCCCCGGGGGAGGTGCCCAGAGGAGCCCAGAGCGGCCTCCGGCACCGTTTCCGGACAGATCCGGACAGATCCGGTGGATCCGCGCCCCGGGGGAGGTGCCCAGAGGAGGAATGAGGAGGAGGAGGAGGAGGAGGAGGAGGAGGAGGAGGAGGAGGAGGAGGAGAAGATGATGGAGCTGTGGGGTGGAGGAGGACAGACGGAGGCAAGAGAAGGATGGAGGAGGAGGAGGAGGAGGAGGAGGAGGAGGAGGAGGAGGAACCTCATCCTCACCCTCGCCAACAGGCGCACGCACCTTCTTCTATATACAGAAACTCCCGATCAACCGCAGAGCGGCCGGCTAGTATAAATAAAGGCCCCGCGCTCCTGCGGGCAGTCCGCCCGCGAAATAAGAGCGCGCAGCGCAACGAACAAGTCTGTGGATGTTGACGCGGGGGCGCATATGTTATAACCATATACGGGGGAGGGCGGGCACTTGGCTTTTTCCAAAGAGGAGGGGAATGGATGGAGAAGCACATAGGAGCGAGGATGATTGTCATTCCTCCGTTGTCTGGTGGCCTCGCAGACGCAAGCTGCGATCGTGGCTGTCCGCGTGCCATGCTTCCACAGTGGAAACACTGCTTCAGCGCCGACGCAACCACAACCATTGGGTCCACACCTTCTCCCTCGTACCTCTTTTGCCGCCCTCCCCCCCCCGCCCTGTCCCTCCGCGAGCCCTTCCCCCCCCCCCCGCCCCCAGCCCCTGCTCGCCTGCCCTCCTCGTCGCCCCCTTCTCGCCCCTTCCCCCCGCAGGCGCCCGAGACACCGAGGGCCCGCTGCCCTGAACCACGTCTCTAGTGTGATTCTTAATCTGCGTGTGCGCTGAGATGGCAGCGGGTTCTCGGCGCTGCCAGCGTTTGCTGTTGCTGACGGCCTCATCCGCGACAGATCCTTAAACAGAGGTCTGGAATTTCATGGCCTGCTGGTATCGCGTTCGGAGTGCCTGTGGGAGCGATTCTCTGGACCCCCCCGCGTGGCCGGATTCCTCCCGGGCGCTCGAAACAGCGGTCCGAGGAGTGATTTTGTCCTTCGGCTTCTTGAGCTCGCGCAAGAGAAGCCCCGTAAACACGCGCACACACACGCGCGCGCACGCATGCGCACACACACACACACACACACACACACACACAAAACAACAAAACAATAAGCGGCCTCGGCCTCAAAGATTTCCCTGCCCCCTGTGAGAGAGATCATGAATTTCGCGCTGGTGTCCTTGACCTCTCTCACTGCCTGCAACAGGTGAGCGCAGCGAGCCAGATAAGAGCGGGGGGGCACGCGAGAGACGGGGGTGGCACGACGCACGCGCGGACGGGGGGGGGGAGAGAGGAGGGGCGGGATGGGGGATATGAGCGCCATCAGGGCGGCGGGGGAGTGGCAAGAGGCGGGAAAAGGGTCACGAAGAAGATGAAGGACAACAGATCCGACGAATATATTTCACGGCCGGGGGCATGAGTAGATGAGGTTACGAGGAGTGGTGGGAGATCGGGGGGCAGGGAGTTACGGGGGAGACAACAGAAACCGGGGGCGATATGGTGGGGCGGGGGCAATGATCTCAAGGATTGATGGAGACGAGGTTCGGGCGATGACGGGGGCGGGGCGCGCGCGAGATGAGCGAGCGAGGGGGGCGAGGGAATGCGGTGGTGGAGTTCGGGGGCGGCGGAAAATGGGAGTGGGCAGGAATGGAGGGGTCCTCCTCCTCCTCCTCCTCCTCCTCCTCCTCCTCCTCCTCCTCCCCCTTCCCCCCCCCTTCCCCCCCCCCTCCTCCTCCTCCTCCCCCGCGCCCCCCCCCCCCCCCCTCCCCCCCCCCATCCCTCCTCCTCATCCCCCCCCCCCCCCTCTCCTCGCGCCCCCGTGCTCGGGCGGTGCAGGGAGGGGCCAGGACGAATACGATAGAGGGTGATTGATGGGCGGGGGGAGGGATCGAGGAGCGAGCGAAGCGAGGGGGAGGAGGATGGGAGGGGGGGACGGGGGAGGGAGGACGATGAGGAGGAGGAGGCGGAGGAGGAGGCGCAGGAGGAGGAGGAGGGGGAGGGGGCGGGAGGAGGAGGAGGGGCCACCTACCACACTCGAGCGCCACCCCCTAACGCACCTTGGCAGCTGCTGCCTGCAGTTACCCCTCCCCCCGCGCTGCGGCCTTGTTCGCGGCGTCCAACGGCTTCTTCAGCGAAGCCACCCCGCTATCCTTCATGATGGCCTCCTGGGCGCGCGCCCAGAAGTCCGACCGCTTCGCCCCCCGATGGGGGGTCGAGCCCGTTAAGCCGGCGCTCGGCGTTCAGCCCACCTTGGCAAGGCAAGATCAGGGCGACAGCCTCGGCGAGCTCAAAAGTGCTGTTCTTCGTCGTGGGCGAGCCCGCCCGTTGCAAGCGCCCCTCCGCTTGCTCCATGACTTCGTCGAGCCGCTGGACGTGCTTCTTGTGGTCATCCTACTTGCTGAGGTCGCTGTGGTGCTCGGTCAGTTGCCCCGTCATGAACTGCAGTGTGTTCGCGAGCTCGGGCTCCACTTTCTCTGGTGCCTGCTCCATGCCAGCGGTCGCAGCATCCAGGGCGCTCAGCTGGGTGTCGATGGAGCGAGCGGTCACGAGCGCGCGCATCACCTTCTGGGCCACGGGCTCGCCGCCCTTGCCGAGGGACTGGCACGCGTCGTCGGCGACGCCACCGCATCGACGTCAGCATCTGGAAATGCATCCAGGGCGGCGTCGCATAGGCCGTCCAGACCAGCAACGATTGTCTCCACCAGCCTGCCTGGCAAGGTCTGCAGCGAGTTGCTCCTCGCGAGGCCCTCGATCTCAGAGAGCTTCTCATAGGCGCCTTTTGCAGTTGTCGCGGCCCCGAAGACCGACGCAAGGGCTGCGCGGGCCCCGGCAGTCTGCATGTGCTTGCATGTGGTCCCCGCCTCGACTTTCTACACAGGGATCTGGGCGTCTGTCGGGGAGACGTTTCACGCCGACTGCAATGCCGAAGCCGCTCGGCGAAACATGTCCCCGCTCTTCTCGCCATCTCCCAACATGACACCTGCGACCACCTTCACCTCGCCCAGAACGGTTGCCCGAATCTGAAGTGTGAGTTCTTCGGGGGTCGCGAATATGACCTTTGGTAACATCTTCAAGGTCTCGGTGAGTTCGCCCCAACACTCATGCTTCTGGCCCCCGTCGCGGCAATTGCACTCAGCGACGTGATCCCTGCGCTGAGAGCGCGCGTGGCGGGCCTCCTGGAACTTCGCGGTGTTCATCGCGACGAGCTGGATGCGGTCGCTGTAGAAGACCACGTCGGAGACGGACAGCGCAATGCTCTTGGCGATGCCCATCGGGTTGTCGATGTCATTGATCTCCCTGGCGTCGTCCACGGCGTTCCCCCCTGCTCTGCGTCAGGAACGGTCCCGGAGTTAAACAGGGTAGCCATGGCGTTGCATGTGGTGGTGAGCTCGCACGTGTAGGATGTCGTGTCAGTGCAATCATCGCCCAAGGTATCTATGGCGCGCGCGACCCACTCTTGTAAAAATGATGCACACGTGCATGACTGCATTGGCAGACCCACGCCCCTTAGATATGCGCGCGCAACAGCCCCTTCAGGAACTGCGCCTTGAAGAGGGCCATCTTCTCATCGAGCGATGCGGTGTCGACGAACATGAGCCGAGGGTCCTCGATGTCAAAGGCGTCCTCGAACGTGGCGCTGCTCGTCTCGTGGGCCAGCGCCGGTACGTTCCATGGCCACTTGTAGGCCAACAGTGGTGATTTTCTCGTCCTCGCTGCTAATCCCCGTTTGCGTGAAGATCTGCATGTAGCTTTTCTCCCAGAGCGTGCACATCGCGATGCCTGGGATCTTGGCGATGGCCGAGAGCTTCTCAAACGCTTTCTGCACTCTCTCTCATTGGGGTGCTTCAGGTTAGTAGGGCCCAAGCTTTCGGGCAGTGCCCAGTTGGCCATATGCTTCTTCAGCCTCTTGCACTGGTCCTCCATGCTGGGGTTCTTTTCCCAAGCTTCGATCCGACCTTTTGCTCGGTGGTAGCTCAACCTCTGCTTCTCGCCGAGCATCGCGCCCGCGAGGCTGAGCTTCTTGATGCGCGTTGTCGCGGAGTCAGTAATGTCATCGCCCTCGCCGCCGCCGATGAGGCTGGCACTATCACCCACGTCTTCTGGGGTGCCCCTGAGCGACGGCGCCCTTCTCTTGCCGCAGGCCGCGGAGCTTGCCGATCCGAGCTGCTGAAGCCCAACTTTCTGGGCATGCTGGGGCTGCCCACTCTTGGCGCTCATCAGGCTCTCGCCTACGCGCGACTGTCCGGGCGACGGCGTGAGCAGAACGCTACCGCAACTTGGGCCTGGGCTCTGAATGGGGCTGCATCCGCTAGACGCCCCCGAATTGCCGACGGCTGCGACGGGCAGGCTGGCCACGGCGCACGCCTTCTCAACGGCTTTGAGAGGGGGGTCCGCCGTCTCAGAGAACTCTCGGATCGTGTGGAAGTCGTTTTTTGTTGACCAGGCCGTCGAAGTCATCCGAAACTTGTTGCTTCGAGGCATCGATTGCCCACTTGTACGTGTCACCCGCCGGCTCCGCGTAGAACTGCTTCCCGGCGTCCATCGTGATGGTCGCCATGTTGCTATCAATTGTGAAGCCGACCTCCACCTTCCGAAGAGGACCATTGACCTCCCAAGTGAACAAGCGTACCAACTCATGAGGGTCAACGGGGTCTGTGCCGCACGGGATGCGGATGGTAGGGGGGGTTTCTCCACGTCGTTCTTCAACGGCTGCTTGCCGAAGATACGCATTCTGAGGTGCTCATCGCTGTCCATTTGCGGCAGACCTTGGCCGTGTAGGAGCGTGATTGCTGAGCGTTCTGCTTCACCAAGTCCACTGAATATGGTTGGGCACGGGCTTTCTTGGCCCTGTCCCACTTCTCCTTGAACACTGGGCCCGTGCACTCCTCGGCGGCCTGGGCCACGCCCATGTAGCTGAAGCAGTCGACGAACGCGCCGGCGCCCTCCGCGCACATGGTGAACGCTTCCTCCTCACGAGAGAAGAACTCCACGAAGGGTGCCTTAACATCTCGGCGCGCTACAAACACTCACAATAGGCAGTCCCCCATTTCCCCCACAGGGCTGCCCCGCAAGCTAAACGAACTCCACAGGTCCCAGGAAACTGTTAAGGCGCCAAATGGGCCCACAGAGGGCCCCACGAGGCGTGCGCAAGGAAGGGGGGGACATGGCAAACCATTTCACATGCCCCCCCCCCCCCCCCTCGTAGAGGGCCCTGAGGTAAGCCCGAGAGGGCCCACCATCGCTAGATAGACCCCCCGAGGACACATAATAATTCTTAGAAGATGGGGGGGGGACATGGACATGCCCATGTCGACTTGGTTCTGCACTCCTGAACCGAGCCCCATGTGAGCGAAGCAAGCGCAGCAACTGTCTCCATCTTGAGTGTGTTGCACAGCCAGGCGACTGCGCTTTCTCGAATTATCCACCCTGGCGGCGCGGGCACGGGGGCCAGAATAATTTCTTCCAGAGCGGCCCCGCTTCTCTCCTTTGGAGGCCATCGTGAGGACACGCATGAGCTTGCCGGATTCTGCACGGGCAATGCGCAATGCGAGCTACTGCGCGGCCTGGGCCATGCAAAGGCTGAGAGTAAGTGTTGGCGAGCGGGGTGCGGGGGAAAGGAGGTGGTGAGAGACGCCGTTCCCGTATCCCAGAATTGTAGATTCCTCGAGCTCACTGGTCATATAATTCGATTATCCAACTCTTGCTGCTCCTGCTAATGAGTCACTGGCGTTTGTTGTTGCATGCGCACCCCCGTCCCCATCGGCTACGTCATTGGCGTTGTTGTCTACATCTATATGGGCGACATGCCGCTGTTGTTGGTGCGGTGTGTATCGCCCAGCCCAGTCTTGGACGTATTGGCTGTTCGGTCACTGTCACGGTTCGGTCCGCCCTCAGATGCCCTGGAATGATCGGAGACTCCGGGGGCGGCCCGAAACGCGACATAGGCTACGAGGGGCCACCCAACCGCCAGAACCATTTCTGATGTCGGCCAGAACACCTTCTGGAGTCCTACATGCTAGAACACACTCAGGTGCAACCAAAGGACATGGCAAACTGACGATGGGAGAACTGACGGCCACAGGCATGGGGCCGCCGAGGCAATAACAACATGACGCGCGATGTCTTGAACGTCGGGCGGCGTCGCAGAGCACAGATCCCGACGTGATTGCAGCCGCGTCATCTGGTCAGCCTCGTCACAACCTCTGGGAACAGGGGGAGAAGGACGGGGGGGGCAGGAGGAGGCCGAGGAGGAGGAGCAGCAACAGCAACAGCATCAGCAGCAGGGGCAGGAGGAGGAGGAGGAAGAGCGGGAGGCGCCCCTCAGTGCCAAGAGGGGCTCTCTGGAGGCTCGCTGGAGGCTCTCTGGGGGCTGTCTGGGGGCTCTCTGGGGGCTCTCCGGGGCTCTCTGGGGGCTCTCTGGGAGCTCTCTGGGGGCTCTCTGGGGGCTCTCTGGGAGCTATCTGGGGGCTCTCCGGGGGCTCTCTGGGGGCTCTCTGGGGGCTCTCTGGGGCTCTCTGGGGGCTCTCTGGGCTCTGGGGCTCTTTGGGGCTCTCTGGGAGCTTTATGGGGTCTCTGGGAGGAGGGGGGGAGGGGGGGGGGGGGGGGCTCCCTGGAAAAACCCCAGGGGGCACTCCTCGATGTCCCAGGGCTCTCGCGAAGAGCCCCAGGGGGCACTTCGGCAATCCTTGGGCCACTCCCGAGAGCACTCCTCGAGTGCCCGAGGCTCTCTAAAAGCACTCTGGGTGCTCTCTGGGGGCTCTCTGGGTGCTCTCTGGGGGAGGGGGCGCGGGCGCGCGAGAGGTCCAGGGGGCTCTCGCTGGACGGCGAGGCTCGAGCCGAGAGCCTCAGGGGGCACTCGAGCGGAGAGCGCGGCGATGCAGAGTGGTCCCACAGAGTTCTCGTGCGCCAGGTTCGCGAAGCGGATCGCCGCCCTGAGTCTCTGGCCGCGGCGTTCGCCCTCCTCCTCCTCCTCCTCCTCCTCCTCATCCTCCTCCTCCTCCTCCTCCCACTCCTTCCCCCCCCCCAACATACACACACACACACACACACACCGCGCCCCTCCCCCCCCCCTTCCCACCCCCTCCCCCGCCCCGCGGGCCCTCCCCATCCACCCCCCTTCAAGTGCCCGCCCTCCCTCTCCTCCTGTTCGCGCTCGTGCCTCTCAAGCCTGTCGCCCCAGACGGCCCGACTCTCGCGGCGAGCTACGCTGCGAGCGTGTTTATCTACACCGAATTTCAGAAAGAGCGGGTCCGTGCGTGGAACCCCGTCGTCTTTGCATGTTTGGGCCGCCTTGATCCAGGCGGCGAGGAGGCCTACCGGTCGCCCTTGCGGCCCTGCTGTGTCAGCCCAACTTGCCCTACTCAGCCCACAATGCTTTCCAGAGGCAAACTTTGGGCACACTTTGCAAGTTGCTTCAAAGGTGCCGTTCCTATAATACGAAATCGCGCCGCCCCTGAAATTGACGGTCTCAATGGCCGCCGCGCGCTCGACCGAGCTGGCAGCACTTCCACCGCGCTCCGTCCGAGGCGCGCTGGCTGGAGGGGCTGGCGGAGGCGGGCAAGGGGGCGGAGGCGTGAGCGGTTCCTCTGGCTCAGGAACAGGGGGCGGTGGTACAAGAGGCCCCGAGGCAACGCAGTCATCAGGCTGATCAGGCTCGCCTCCAGAGCCGACGCCATCGCTAGGGCCCGCGTCGCCAAACATGTCATCCTCCAGATCGGAGGCTGCAGCGACAGCGCCCGCTGGGTCCACCTGTGTATCGCGATCGCATGGATGTCCGACTACTGCCCACTTGCACGCCTGACCCCAGCGTTCTACAGCGAGGGGGCGGCTCGCGCCCCGC